ACTTGCTTTCAATCCTTTTTTTTGGATTGGCAGCATATACCGCTGTTTGATTCTGGTTCACTGAGGTGTTCTTTTGGGGATTCCCGCTGCAAGGTTTTCGGAGAGGAAATCCACACAAGGAGGGATTGTCGAGGAATGCGGTCGGGCCTTGATTTGCAAAAATTCCAATATGAGGGATTTTTCCGGTAAGGTTGTTATGCCTCAGATTGAAGCTCACCATCATCGGCAATCTCCCAAGTGATGCCGGGATCTCGTCGGAGAAATTATTGAAGGACAGGTTTAGAGTTCTAGAGAGCGATTTTAAGTCACCAATGATGGAGTGCGATCCGGATACTCCTAGCTGGAAGATGATCAGGACACTAGTCGCGTGGTGAGCTAGACTAAGCTGCAAGATAAAAGATCAGAGAACCCGGGGTGGCTGGCCCGGCGAGGTCACTCCGATGCTTAAATCAGTACTATATTATGGATGCGAGTTGAATGTTTGAATGCTAGAGTGCTAGTGAGCAAAGAATAGTGTGTACCTTCGCCCTGAGGATTGATGCCCTTATATAGTTGAGTAGTCGTGAATCTTTCAAAAAGGCTCTGGGATCTCTGGGCTGCATAGATAAGATCCGTAAGATCTGTTCCGTTTCCGAAGGAGAACAATGCGCCAGTTGATAAGGTTTATCACTTCCCTTCGATTCGAGCGGAGTGAGGATGAACTCTGTTATTAGTTGTCGTGATCCCAGGAGATTCGGAATCCGTTGGGAAAGTTTCTGGAGTTGATTACGTGGTGCTCCGGCTCTTTGATCCCGAACTGGAAACTCGGATCTTTGGCCCCGAACTAAATTAGGTGACGAGGTGCCTTTATAGCGAGGTGCTCAAGGCCCCAAACTCCCGAGCTACTGGCGAGGCTCCCTTGCTGAGTTGTGACCCTAGTGGTTGATCGTGTCCACGTGTACCTTGGTCGCTAGGTCAGGCCAAATCACCCCTCATCAATTGCCCCCCACTCCCTGTGCCAGGGGTCGTAACCCTGATGCGGGGAGTTCACGGTCAGCGCAAGGAGGTTGGCCCGATTTCTTCTTGGTTCACCTCTTATGGTCGGACTGATGTAACTCATGTGGCTCAGTGGAAAAAACCAAGTCGCGTGTCGAGGACGTGTGGACTCGATGCGGTTTGTAAACTCCGCGGACACCAAAAACTGCGCTCAACCAAAATCTTTCCTCGAGGGGAGTGCTGCCGGTTTTCACGAGAGTCGTAGGATCACATCGATCTGAACCATCAGTTCCCAGATATGGTGGCTATAAATAGGGGGACTCAGGTTCCCTTTCCTTCATCCTTCAAAGTACATTCGAGAGTTGAGGTCACGCATCCATTCTTCAGCTCAAGTCTTGT